GGAAGACAGCGGAAGACGGAGGCCAGCGGGCCAGAAGTGTACGGACAGTAATTTTCTCAGAAGAACCAAAGGAAGCATGCTTCTTCGCTGCGTGGTCTGGACGTCTTCAGGGTCAGGAGTGCTACTGCAGGCCTCCGCGGACCTCAGAGCACGAGCTCCCTCTCCACAGGGATCTGACCATGGGACCTGGGCACCTCATCTCAGACTTTGGCTCCTACCCATGAAAATCTGGCGTCTGACCCAAACTGGCACCAACGAGATTTTCCCAAGTGTCTGACTCATCTGAAAACACGCCGGTAAACCTGCCCGCACAGTCCCCCGTTTTCTGTGCCTGCCTCTCTCCCAGAAGACGACTGGGATATTTAAGAAAGAACTCCCGGAGTCCCAGCGAGTGCCAAGCCTGCGGTTATGCAAGATGGGAGCATCTTCTGCTAAGCGGATCTGAACGGCAGACTATCTGTGGCGGCCAGGAGCCCGGGGTCAGCACGTCTGCCGTTCCGCTGACCCAAGGAGAATTATCTGGGGCTTGAGTTTTCTGTTACGTTCCATCTTGACTCTAGATCCAAACCAGCTAGCGGCTTATGCTTCCTCAGAACAGCAGCCACAAGGCTGGCGGCCTTCACGGTGCTCTGTTCCCTCCCTCCCCTGCCAAAGCCAAAACACCATTCCCCGGCACAAAGCGTTCTCGCCCACACCCGTCTCTGCGATCTCCCCCCACCCGAGAACCCCTCCGTGAGGACGCGACCGATTCACAACGCATCCCAGCACCCACCCTCTGACTGCGGGCTGGGATACCCGACATGTTTCAATCTGAAGCTCAGCTGGGGAAACACAGAGACCTGGTGCGAAAAGAGGAAGCAATAAACAGCACGGACCAAGGCTTAGGGGCTTCCACAGCCCCACCTTCAATCCCGGGACCACGTGCTGCGTGGCAGGGGACACCTCACCAAGTGTCAGCGTGTTCCTCAGCCGCGTGGCATCCCAGAGGGACCACCAGGACCTGCCTCCCGTGAGGAGAAGACGACTCTGAGATGGCTTTTTGCACGCACGCCAAGCTACAGAAATCACGCACGGGTAGGGCTAACCCAGATACTAACGACGACATATAAAACAGATGACAACAGGGTCCTGCTGCAGAGCACAGGGAACTACATCCTATACCTTGAAATAGCCTACAATGAAAAAGAATAGGAAAGGGAACATATATACGTGAGTGTGTGTATAGCTGAATCACTATGCTGAACACCAGAAACTAACACAACACTGCAAATCGACTATACTTCAATTGAAAAATTAATAAAAATAAATAATGCACACTCTCTTTTCTGGGCTAAGGGATGTGATAGCCATTCTTGGGAGTAATTCTGCAAACTTTGATCATAGCTGTTTTACTATTTTGAGTTATTCCCTGTCTCTCCTAACTGGAGAACACCACGAAGGGAAGTCCACTAAAACGAAGGCCCCTGGAGGCCACAGCCTGGAGTGTGAGACACATGGGCACACACTGGAGGGAACACGGTGACAAGGGAGGAACAGGAAGCATCGGTCACGGAGTGGAACGCAGGGAGCCTGTAAGCTATAACCCCCAGCTCTCCCACAGACTAAGTGCGGACGGGAGCAGGACTCCGTGGGGCTGAGTGTGGGTTTGGGATCAGACGTATGAAGGTTACCTTTCTTACTAGTCGTCTGTGTGCTTCCGCCCCTCCTCTGTAAGACAGGCACAAGAGCAGGGCCGGCCTGCTGGGATTGCCGTGAGGGCTGGACGAGCCCACGTGCCCGCAGCGCGGAGGACCGTGCCGGCGGACCGCAGACGTCCGTAACTGCCGGCTGTCATCACGGCGACTGGGAGGCCACTCAAAACAACCCCGCCCATCCGCAGGTGCCGGTATTCATGGGACGCATCCTACGACACGCTGATTGAAAAAATCCATTTACAAATCTGCAACGACTCCTTTATTAAGAAAAAAAAAATCCACGTGCATGAGCACAAGCTCACAAGACTGAAACAATGCCTTTAAAAAAATGGCAAGGACACTGGAACAGGGGTCACCAAGGTGGGGAGCCCTGGCTTTTTATCCTGTGCCTTCCTGTAGCGTCTGAGGTTTGTAATCCCGTATCTAAGGATGAACAGACGTTATCCAGGTAGACGGGGCAGGGTACAAATTGTCCTTCCTTCAGCTTCTCTGTGTAAACGTAACTTTTCACGCTGTTTTCCCCCCACATTCCTTCGTATTAGCCACATTTCAAATGACCGTCACCCAAATCACACACGCTTACTGATCTGGGTTGTAAGACAGCAAAAGCTGGTGCTGAGGTGGCCAGCGCCCAGGTCTGTCGCTGCGGCTCCAGGGGCATGAGGACGCGGGGGGCGTTGGGGGAGACAGACAGAGCTGGGTTTGCTTGTGGGCAGAGGAGGAGGCTCCCTGCAGCCCGGCAGCAGGGGGCACACATGAGCAGGAGAGACCCAGGGGTCCTCCCAGACCCACCCTGGCATCCGCCCGGGGGCCCGATGGGGCCTCGGCTCGGGAAAGTCCTCGTGAGAACCAGCCCTTCCGGAACCCAGACCATCGCAGACTGGTGTTACACAAACCTCCACGCAGGTGTTATCACCTGACTTTACGCCAAGACTTCTTTTCTAAGTGATTGAGATACACACATGGGCTCAGATATTATACCCACCGTGTTTATTTTTGGTAACGAATGTATGGTTTGATAGCTTCAAGCACGTGAAAATTATTTGCGCATCTGCTAGTCATTCTTCCTCATGTGCCGGTGATGCCTGTACAGGGAACGCTGTCGCACAGAACTGAGAAAGTCGCAGAATTCAAGGAAGATAAATTATTTTTAAGCAAAACCACTTCCATCAAAAGCAGGTCTCGGGGCTGACTTATTAAAGCATCATCACTGGTCTTGGGAGCTTGTTTACACACCTCTTTAAATGGGCATCTTCCCATCTACTTGTATGAGTCAAACCAAAACCTCACGGGGGGGGAGGGGACAGCTCGGTGGGAGAGCATGTGCTCAGTGTGCACGAGGTCCTGGGTTCCATCCCCAGGACCTCCTTCAAGAATAAATAAACCTAATTACCCCTCCCCCCAAAAAAGCAAAGGGAGAGAGGGGGAGAAGGAGAGGAAGAGGAAGACGACGACGAAGACAAGGACAAAGGGCCGTGAGGGAAACACTGAGATCGTCCCTGCGTGCTGGCTGCAACGCAAAGGCCCACACCCTCTCCCTGCCACTCAGCAGGACTTGGCTGCTCCTCTGCTGTATTAGCACTTCTTTATTCTCCCTGCCTGACAAAGGGGGTGGACAAACAGGGTGACTGTTTGCGACGGGGACTCCCTGGAAGCGTGCAGCAGTTAGCGCCCCAGGAGTCTGGGAGACCCTCCAAACCTTGCCATTTCCACCCATCCTGCATCGGGATGTGAGTCTCGCCGAAGGCCAACCACCCTCCTGCTGGAAAGGCCTCCTTCAGTCACACTTAACTCTCACTGACCGTCTTCCTCCACGGATGCTGTCAACGCAGCTCTGCCATGTGGTCAGCAAGGTACCTGAGGGTCTTAGCGACAGGCCACTGGTGAGGTCCAGGCACAGCGCCATCGACTCCCCCCGCCCGACTGCAGGGCCCCCGGCAGCGGCAGGAGCCGTGGGCACAGCACCAGTTCATCCACGGGGAAGGCAAGGGGAGAATTTCCCACTGCAGTACCCCCACCCTGCCACAAACAGCGATCACGGCTCCCGTGCAAAGCAACCACGTCCGGGGGAGGGGGGCTTCCCAAGGCTGGGCCAGCAGGAGGGGCTGCCACAGGGCAGGGAGGCAGACAGAGACTTCAAGAAACCACGCAGCACTGTGGCGGGAAACCCAGGCCGGGAGGCACGGCGCCTGCGTCCTCCTGCAGCCCCTAGAACGCCAGGATTGCCGCCTGGGCACCTGCCCGTGGGAGCCCAGTGGGGAGGCAGTGATGGGAAAGAACACAGCTTCCCAAACAGCTGGTGGCTCCCAGCGAAGCCTCATGAATCCCGGCCCCGTCACACCAGTCCCTGGGATGCATCTTTGTCACTTAGCGCTGCCACCAGTTCCACAGCCGTCTATCCAAGGACCTCATCTGCCACATTCCAGGGGAGCCATCGGCCACGTCACACTTCACAGCACACGATGTCCCCACAGGAGTTTCACTGGCCTCAAAGCAGCACCTGCCGGGGTCTTGCCCTGGGTCCTGAGCTTGCCTGACTGGATCTGGGTTAGAGCCCCAGGGACAGCAGGCGACAGACCAGGAGGAGCACATCTGCGTTGCTGTGAGGACTGCCGCTCACCAACACTCAAAGCCTCCTTCGAGGCCACGGCAAACGCCTGGGAGGCAGCGTGCGTACGTCATTTCCCAGGAAACCTCCTTTATTGTTATCCCTTCATTCTAGCGCTGGTGCAGTGGGGCCAGGAGATGCGTCATGAGGCTGCGAGGTGCCTCTGGGCTCATCACAGAACTTCAGAAGGTGCATTTGGAGAAGTAAAAATACTTTTACTGTAAAGTGGGGTAATCCTGGCGCAATCTTGTAAATGAAATTAACTTCTGAGCACCTCACCTTGTTTTTCGAGAAGCGATGAGGAAGCAGATGAGCGCTGCCAGCCTTCTCAGAGGAAGAACAGGCTCACCCCCACTGGGAAGTCACCACACGACAGGGAGGGCCTGGGCATTCCTACGTCGCTTGTGTGTGTCACTGTTACAGCTCCCTGAGACAGACGGACACTCATCCACGCTTTACACGTGGGGGGTCTGAGTCTGGGGACTCAGCAAGCAGACTTCAGCCTTGCTCCTCTCTCCTCAGAGTCCAGCGTCTAGGAGATGAATCGATTTAAAGCTCCAGCCCAGCCACGAACTCAAAGTCTTCAAATTCATATTCCGGCCGTGACCTTGTTGGAACATAAAAGGTGCTTGTGGGAGAAACTATCGTTGCTCCAAGATCCCCACCCACCCGTTCATCTGTTAGAAAAAGAGCCCTGAGATTTGGCCGGGCACTCCATCACCCGTGCTGGTAGAGGTGGTCAGGGGACGGGGTTCCGGCAAACAGGATGGAAGTAGAGGAAGTGTCCTGACCCCACAGACCCCTGGTGGCCCTGAGCCAGCGACCAGGACTGATCAAGAGGAAAGAGACGATTCTGTCCCACGTAAGTCATGGTCCTGTGGGACCTTCTGTTCAGCAGCTTGGCCTGCACCCGAATCAAGGCAGCACATCGAAGAAACGTCAAACTCTGTCCATGCCTCTGAACAGGCCGAGAATTACCCTTACGGCTTGTTGAGCCTGATCATCTGCTTATCCCTCATTTGTTTACAATCATCCCAGCTTGAAGTCTCCCAATTTCCAAATCCTAATTTATGACAGTCACTCGTATAGGAGGACACAATCCCATTTCTTAAAGCCCCTGTTCTTCCCAGTGTCCTTCTTTGGAAAATGCCACTCACCCACATTTAGCCATTGGGCAGGTGGTCTGGCCGCCGCCCGTGTTTGCCGGTGGTCCAGGCTGGCATGATGTCACCTGAACCGGGCCGTGTGCTCTGCCCTGCCCTGCCCGGCGGCTCTTGGTCTTCAGCAGCTGCATCTACTTTCACACACCTCAGGCCCAGTGGGGTTGCCACGGCAGCGAGCATCCTGTAAACGCTGGCAGGCTGGCCGCCTGCCAGGACCAAGTTGTTGGTAATCCTGTCTTGCTGGTTAGCGAGAGGGCAGACAAAACTCTTTTTATGACCGTTCCGCAAGAAGAGCCCTTACAAGAAGCGGAAGGGGGTGGGGTGTCTGTTGGAACCCTCTGATCTATTTAGAGACCGCCGGCTTGGGGGCCTCCGGCTATGTATTTCAGCTGCACTGCGCACAACCAGCCGTCATTACCTGAGATGAAATGACAGGCATGGGTCAGTTTGTTCCAGCCTGCCGCCTTCTGCCTTCTCAACAACCTATTACCAATCTGAGATTGATCTGCCGTGACTCCTGCTGGATCCCGTGGCCAGAATAACAAACAGAAGCAATCCACCTTGGCCACTGCATTTCTGGTGGAGAGTTGCAGCAGACCCAGCACCACGCAGTTCGGGGATGACAGGCTGCCGCCAAGAGAAGCCAGCATCACCGTCTCCATCCTGAACTCTGGAAGCTACACTCTGCCACCCCCTGCAACTCCACTGCAACCGAATGTAGTGCAGATTTAAATCACAGACAATACACATCTGTGTTATAGGTGCTACTTACTTTTAGCATGCTCCCTGTGTTGGGAATCTGCGTGTGTGCTACACAGGCAAGACTGGGAAGCATCTTAAATTGAAACAGATGGAATTACCAGCTATGCTACAAAAAGACTGCTACAGAATTAGACTGACATATGGACCTGTGCTTTTTATGGCGTTTGGCTGGCATCTTTGATGTGTTTGACTTTGTCACAGGAGCTGAATTCATCATCTACGAAGAGCCATAGTACTGACAGTGTCACCTTGGCGCACTGTTCAAAGCCAATTAGCCGATCTCTGCTGGACACATAAATCCACTGACCTATTCTTACAATTGGCATATAAAACCTTCATGAGTGTAAACGGGCAGTAAGTTTTAATAGACATTTGAAAAAGCAGACCAGAGATAACACAGATTTGAAAACAAAAATAACAAGCCCTTGTTCCTCTCATCCAACATCCCAAACACTGCATTTCAGTCTTCGGGGAAGACTTGGAAATTCACATAAAAGAGTAAAGCGCTTTTAAAATAGCTCTGTGTGTTCCAGCACACATCATGCACCATTTTCAAGCAAATTTATCACCACAGTCTGAAGGCTTTTCAGAAAAGGAAAGCCTAACCCATGAGGACTTCTCGAGCCTTCGGCAAATCTAATTATTAGTAAACATCTACCAAATCGGCTTTGGATACTTGATATCACACCAACACAACCGGCAAACATTTACCAGAAATTCCCAGGACGGTGCCGCGATTCTCATGTTCCGCACTGTCAAGGAGTTTCTAAATGAACAAACAAGCTCACAGACACTGGGGAGTTTCAACAGCCAGCAAGCGAACAGGAGGGAAGCCCGCCTCCTCGCAGTGCCTCTGAGCATCACCTCCGCGGAGGCCCCGGACCAGCGGGAGAAAGGGTGGTCACAACAGTGAACGGTGGGCGGCGAGGTCCTAGAGATTCAGGTCCAGGTTTTAAAGTAAAATGTTTCAGTAACAGCCAAGAAGATACTATTTACTTTCCACGTCAAGAAGGTAACGACTGAGAAAAAGCGCCCTTTTAAAAAGGAGAATAGAATCACACACAAGCCAGGCATGTGATGTGGAGGTCCAGGAGACAGGCCCTCCGTCACATGGCAGGTCCATCCCTGCGCAGTGCCTGGGTCCCAGAGCCGAACAACGCAGAGCAGCCGCCCCTCAGGGATCTCCCCAGGCCCCTGCTGTCATCCCACGGCTGTGTGCACTGCCTCTCTGTGTCGACCATGGAGGCCGGGTCTGCTCTCTGGCCTCCAGGCCCTGAGCCATTCCTGTGGTCACCTGGGTGCCCTCTCACCCCTCATCCCTACGGGGCCTGGTTGGGCGCACAGAACCACTGGGGGCAAGGCCAGGGAGGTGCCGTGCAGTCAGGACTTCTGCAAACGTCTCCTCCGTGGGGACGGCTCTCTGGGCCCTTTTTGTACACCTTCCCTGGGGGCCCTTCCCCATCACTGCCTCTCTTTCCCCTGCTCGTGACCTGCACTTGAGGGATTCCCTCCTCCACACCTGCAGGCTGCCTGCCCCGCTCCCAGCCCGACCACCTCACCGCGCCTGCAGGCATGGCTGGAGGTCCCTGTGGGGCATTCAAGCAAAAAGAGATCTACTGAAAACATTTCGGCACAGAGATAAAAAGGCTCCACAGACAAAATGGAGATGGGTTGAAGGCCAGAGAAGGTGAACTGATTAGAGCTAAAAAGCAGGAGGGAGGATGGACATGGGCCTGGGACGAGACCAGTACTGAGGGAGGATGCTCCACGGAGCCCTCAGCACCCAGAGAACACACGTGGGGTTGGGGGGGCTGTAAGGCACACTGGGCAACGTGCAGGATTGTCAGGGAACTGGAGAGTCGTGGTCACAGCCAAGACCACGCCACGACCCCAGGCTGGCCAGGTCAGGCCACCGGGCACAGCCCCCCTTGGTCACTGCGCATCCTGGCCCCCAGGCAATGGCCTCGGGCTGGTCGAACTGGGTCACATGCCTGTCCCTGAGCTGCCAGAGGGGTATCTGGCCTTTTTCACTCTCATTCAGAAGGCAGGATCTGCCTCCCTCCAAAATCAACGCTCGAAGGAATTTCCTAAAATGAAGGACAACAGCTACCACATCCCGTTCGTCTAATGTCGTGGCTTAGACAGCTCAGACCGGGCGCCGCTCTCGACTGCAGACCGAGCTCAGCCTAGTTCACAGGGGGCACGGCTCTCTCCTCCTTCTCAGGTGCTGTGAGAGGCGTTCCCTACATCAGATCTGGAAACTAAGCCAAGAGTGTCTTCCATGCCGTGATGTTCGAGGAGGACGGAGCACAAAGCCACAACGTTCCAGCCAAAGTGGGTTGTCGGTCAGAGCGATGAGCCCGCTTCCCGTACATGCAGTTTCACCGGTGGTGTTCGTGTGCGCGGATCCCCATGTGTGGATCCACGTGCGGGAGGGTGAGTCTGAAGACGGGAGGGGAGGCCAGCTGCAGGAGGGCACGTGGACCCGCCCCACGGAGCAGGGACAGAGGCTGGGAGCCAGGGGGCAGGCAGCAGCCTGGGGCCCCAGGAGTTCTGTCCACTCCCACCTTGGGTGACTCCTGGAAGTGATGAAGGCCCAAGAAAATAGGATGGGGCTTGGGTGGGGCTGGACTCCAGGCTGACGTGCCCGCTGTCGTCTGGGGCCGTCGTTCACTTACCGGAGCGTACGCCCTACAGTCCATCACCACAGGCATCAGAGGGCTTGAAGCTGTCTCGAAGGAGGATTCTAGCCCTGCTCGCTCTTCAGCACACATGAAGAACTTAGGCTCCAGGATCATTTCAAATGGACTATGTTACATGCTAAGTTCAATTTAGCCCTAACTTTTAGACTCCCAAGTCCCACTGACGTAGCAATTTCTGGACTCTCCAATGGAAGTGATCCCATTCACACTGAAGGGGGAAAAAATTAAGATTTACAGCACGGAAAACACGCAGGTGCTGCAGGTGGTGGGGCTGTAACTCATCACTCCGCTCGCTTACTTTTCCAAAATTGGTCCAAACACACAAACCATAGCACTTCCAAGCCAGGTACCACCCA